ATTGAATTAATGCCAAAAAGCCAACATCCATCCTCCTGTATCTGCCAGACTTTGGGAGTGGATGTGCGTGCTGGGTCAGGTGGAAAAAGCAATGCGCAATTTTATCATGAAGGTCTGAATAACGCTGTGGCCTGCATTGCCTCACAACTGTGATGGTGACCGCAACATTTACATTTAAGGAAGGGGAAAAAAAAAACCCAGTAGCTTCGAAAATTTGTTATGCAAGGGTCTGTAATGAGAATAAGTGTTGTTGTTCTATAGTATTTTTTCGGTCTTTTTTGTTACAGACATCAACCTAATTCCTGACTGACAGTAGGGAAGGTTCCATTTTCCTTTGTTGGTCGCATCATTTCAGCTAAGTCTTAACTACTTAACTATCCCCCAAGAATTAGCACTCAACAACATATTAATCTGTAGTAATCAATAAACATAGAGCTGAGTAAAACACAACGTGTAACACAGTTGAGGAGTAGGTTTTCTTATTCTCTTAGGTCTTGATGCTATAACATCATCGTGGAGCTGAGCTGTATCTGAGCTGTATCTCACTTGTAAGAAAGGGCAAAAACACCCTGGCAGCAAAAATTCCCATGAAACTTGCTGAGGCAGCCTAAGTTAACTGGATGGCCTGACCTCTAGATAGAAACTGGCAGATGCTGTGTTACAGAACACTTTACTTTTTACTGCACCGTGACATTTGGAAGTAGAAGAAATTTTAGGACACTTGGATTACCTCAAGATCATAATCACTGGAGCTCTACTTTGTTCTCTGAATTGTTGCTCTAGAGGCTTGTGTAATCTATGTAGATCGTCTTCATTGTCTCAAAAATATTGTTGCTTAGGCTCAGTTTGGTGTCAGAACCAAAAGTTCAAACTGTCTTAAAGCAGTAAGATCTGTTGGGAGTAGCTTATGTCTTTTCCTAGTTGTTTCTTAGCATGTGGTAATTTCAGAGATGAGTAAAATTCAGACAATGGAACTGAGCATTCCTCCTGCCCAATGAAGTCAGTGGCTCTGTGAGCTGCCGATCAACTGTGTGTGGAGCTCCACAGGCATGAAAAGTATCATGCTCAGGATCAAAGGATCTTTGTTTGAAAAGATCAGTATTGAGAAGAATTTGGATAATATTCTGTAAAAATGTTACTATCAGCATTAGCTACAATTACGCACTGTGTTTTAACATGCTGCAGAATTACCATTTTCATGCTGGATTAAATATATTTATACTCATCTGATCTTGGGAGCTAAGAATTTTAGAGTGACTAGGACTTGGAGATTGGCCATCCTGGGCTAAATTTGCACCCAGTGAGAAGCTGAGGTCAAATACTTGAAGAATATTAAATTGCAGAAGCAGAAGGAAAGACAGCATTCAAACATACCATTATTGTAGAACCAAGCATGAATAAAACATTGATACAGACAGGACTAAAACAGCCAATTGCTGAGGATTTTCAATTTATTCTGACAATTTTTTCTTTTTACATTTTTTGAGATTGAAAAAACTATATTCCCAGTAATCCCTGTTATCAAAGCTAGAATACAGGATTGTAGCAGATTGGCTTTAGGCCATTCCTTCAATTTTAGTGAGAGTTTTGGTTTTTGCTTCCCGATTTTATTACATTGGATTTTGTCGATTTGCAATCTAATAATTATTGGCAGCTGAAACACATCAGCAAGCTAACATACCCCACTGAGCTGTGAAGATTCTGAAATGCTGAGGTAGAAGAATATCAAAATGTCAACATACTGCAATTACAAGGAGCTGTGATAAGAGTCAAATATAATGACTTCTGTTCACCTTCGAGGGTAAAATTGGCAGATATATAATTTTGTCTTTAACTCTGATAAAAGGTGCTTATGGAAGGCTTATTTAGCAGTCTATTTTTTTCTGATAAAGTGTGAGATAGTATTCTCTCTTTAAGTGCTCATGTTTTTTCATGTGGAAAAAGCTAGTGTTCACACTGCCCTGGATTAACAGGCATGTCCTATGTGAAACACATATAATGTTGAGAAGAATGCTAGGTTATGGTTAGTCCTTCACATAATAGCAGGAGTTCCAGGAAAAGCAAAAGGGATGATCATAGTCTACAGTGTTAGGTAGAAAGAAAAGGCCTTGTTTAGCTTGGCAAAGGAAAAAGGAAGACATCATAGCCATATTTTGACAGCTCACATTCTCTGTTAGGAATAAACTTCCAACTCTAAGAATCAGTCGTCATTGGAGTGGATCGCTTGGGGAGCCTCTGTCTTCAGAATAGTTTAGAACAGTTCAGGCAATTCTCAAGAATGGTTTAAGTACAGCTGTTCTTGTCTTGGGACTAGGGGCAGACTGTATTGTCCCTCAGTGTCCCTTCAGACTCTAGTATCAGTTGTTCTAGCGCAATTATCCCAGCCTGAATCACCCTGTTGTAACCATGGGCATAGTTTTGCAGCTTTTCTCTACTGACACAATATGAGACTAGCTAGTCCCAGCTATTTTTCACTCATATTTTCTTGAAATACTTGCTTGTTTTACGTAGCAGTTGATAGCCTCTCCAGAACAAAGATTACATCACCTCCTTTACAGTCCAAAATCGATCTATGCGTCTGCATAAAACCCAACCTCAGTCCTGTGAACAGGGTGAGTATGTGAGCCTGTTCTTCAAATACTCACTCTTTTTGTAGTGCCTGTATTTGCAGAGCATTTTAAAAGCTTATTCCTGGAAACACTCATATTCTCTTCCATGCTTTTATGCTAGTAGTTGGGCAGATGACTTACAGGACAGATGACTTCAAACAAGTATCATTGTAAATGACCTAGCAATGTAATTGTAAGTGCTTTGTCAATGACACCAGAGAAGAACTAGTCCAAAGTGAAAGAACAACCAATTAAAAAAAAAAAAAAAAAAATTTCCAACCTGACATTCCTATTCATGGATGTAAGCACCAGTCATGTTGCTCTGTAGCTTTACTTCAACTGGTTTATCCTGTTTGTTTCCATCAGGCATAGCCACAGCACTGAATTCTTTGTTCCAGCTCTTGTCTAGTCCTTTATACATTTTAATGAGCTAGTTTCACATTTAAGTACACTAGCTTATCTGAGACTGCTTCTTATTTTACATCTTTTCAGAACTATTAAAATCTACTGGCAGAGTTACTGTAGGTTTCTAAATTTCAAAGCTCCAGGATTAGTGTTGGTGTTTTAGCCTTGGAACTTGCTGTCTTCAGAATTGTGTTAGCGATGTGAGAATTTGAAGCTTCAAAGCACAATGTGGTTCCCTTCTTCTTCTGTAAGTTATCTGGTTTTCTCTCTGTCTCTTTTTTAGGGAGAGGTTTGCATTTTTTTTTTTAATTTGGCTTACCGTTTTCTGTCCAGATACATTGCTGCTGTGTTGGTGGCAACATGTACTTTTCAAGACAATGTAAACAGATAAATATAACAACATTTTTGCTGAAAAGCCAATGTCCCCATAATGCACTATCTGTTTACCAAATAATTGTCTTGGTAAGTATCAGAAAGGCTGAAATAACAGTACAAACTCATCCTGTGCTTTAACTGTTGCATACATGAAAGTTTCTATGAAACCTCAAAAAAATTCTGCCCAGAGGAAGTTTTCTGTGTGATGGAGAAATGAATGAAGAGTGGAGAAGAGTAATCTCTTCTTGAGGATCTCTCTTTGGGGTAAAAAGAGAGGCAGTTTGTGCTGCAATGTTAACAAAAAAGAATAAAACCTGTCTACTTCTATGAAGAAACAGCCTGCTTAGACACCTTCTTTTCTCTGAGCACACCAGTGTGTATTTTCTTCACTATATAAAATAACTTGAGTCTTCTTCATAGTGCTCATACTGCACAGACTGGAAGTGATGTTTTTCAGGCTTTTAGGTAGCAACATCTGCCTAAAGAAAATTTGCCACTTCATCCCTATCCTAACCCCAATCCACACTCAAATCTTCAAGTTAAAGTTCAAGCTTGAGCTAGCTTACCGAGCTGAAATAGATTGTTTGACACTAAAGCTACAAACACTGTAGAGATTAATTATCTACCAATTATAGCAGCTTATCAACTGCTAATCTAATTAATCTGCATGGCTTCACAGTTGCATGGCTCTTTTAGTCCTCTCAGGCTCAAGGTAGGCAGTAATTCACATGCACCGATATAGCTAACACTTGCAGGAAAGACAAGCTCTAAAAGTTCTCCTAGAGGAGGATGAGTAAATCACTATATATCCCAAGAGTAATTTAGATGCTATGATCACTGGTGCAGGCAGTATGTAATCACGTTTTATTGACAACTCTGAAAGATCAGTCTTCCTTTGAAGCTGCCTAGAGTGAAAGTGAATAGAGCGTAGCTAGAGGGCCTAATGCGACATACGGTGATGAGACCTGATCTGGCACCAAATGGGCTGCTTTGGGTAAGGGAAGCACTATAAGCTTTTTAGCATAGTGCTGTGCATTGGCCTGAATTGACTGCTGTGAATTTACACCATAGCCTTAGCGACAACCATTTGTAGAGAGTGTGGCAGTTTGCTTACACAGAGCCGTGACTCGTAGCACACCTAAGAACTTCAGGTAGTATGTTTTTTGGAGGAGAAAGGCAAAGGCTGTGTAAATGATCTTGTAATAGAAAACTTGCAAATACAGTTTCTGTATAAAAAAATGTTGGACCTTAAACATTTTTTTTTAATTCATGTTTGATCACTTCAGTAATCTCATAAATGCATTTTTAAAAATGCTGTGCTCCTTGGACAGAGGTTTGGGAAGCCATGTTTCACCTCAGAGTAATCACACCTTTATAAACCCCTGAATACAGTACTGGAAAAACACTGACAAGAATCTTAAAGACAGGCTGCTATTAGGTACCACCCAACAACCCACAAAGCAATTCCACTTACCACAATAAATGGGATCTCAAATATACTTGGCTAAAATGGATAGAAAATCTTTAAATGTGTTAAAACATGAAGTGAATTATTAGATGTATGGTTTGTGTATTGGTATCAATAATGATTTTATATTCTCTTTCTTGCAGGAGGTGAAGTCACCAAGCCCAGATTTGCCCAGTATTTCCATGGCAGCCTTGCCAGTCTTACTATCCGGCCAGGCAAAATTGAGAGTCAGAAAGTGATTTCCTGTTTGCAGGCCTGCAAGGAAGGTCTGGATATTAATTCTCTTGAGAGTCTTGGCCAAGGAATAAAGGTGAGGGATGAACTGACATCATCTTTGATAAAAATTTAGAGCTGATTTATGAAGTGGAGAGCCCAAGGTAGAGTACACACAGTACAAATGTACTCCCAGAAGCAATGTAATTTCCCATAGAGTCATGCAAAGAAAAAGCGGAACAGCAGAAGAGCTGTGACACTGCAAAGAAAAATGTTTCCATTATTGCAAAGCCAGATGCTCAGAAAGTAAGGCACTACTGATATTTCAGAGTCCATAAGAATTGCCAGGTTGTGTTCTCATGCTTATTTTGGTAGTTTTACAGAAATAGACATGATTCCGAAGAATTATTGAATTTTGATCTGAAGTAGCTTTAAAGCAATGGAAAACTTAAGTGGAATATCTTTCATCTAGAGGCAACTCCGAAAGAAGTCCCAGTGCAATAGTATTGAAAAATTCAAAGCGTGTTCCAAAAGGAAAACGTTATGGGACATGAAAATTGGACAGTAAAAAAAACTAAAGTCAAGAAATTAGAATTTTACATTTGCATATAAATCATTATCCATCTTCATTATGTATATGACTATCTTTACTGATATCGTAACACTTTTTCCAAGATTGGAGAACAACAGACAGAGGGAAGTCCTGTTTCAATTGACATAGTGGCCAGATTGCTTTGTATTCGTTAAGACAAATCCTGTTCTTTTGGATACATATGTAGGATCTTGACTATAACTTCTATGATGCTTACATGAGAGGCATTGTCAGTTTCCCTGTACTGGTACCATTCTTAGATGACAGCTGTTCCTCTGCCTAATGTGTAAACACACTGTTAAGCTATTTCTTAGCACACAAATCACAATACCGTCTTCCAAAGGAGCTGAGCTTCAAATTCAAACTGGGAAGATACTCTGGCTGCAGACTATGCATCCTGTGAACCTGCACAGGTGTTTTTTTAGTGTGTTGTTTGTCAGTGGGGAGGAGGATGGTGCTGTAACACTTGATCTAGAGCATGCAGTGGAGGTGCCATGTACTACATTTTGTTAGCTAAACCTTTTCATTGTACAAGCTAGGAGACTGACCCGAAATACACTCAAATGTCTGTCTAGGTGATAAGTTGCAGTAGCGTGGTATAACCGATATGTTTTCTGAGAACAAGGGTAAAAATGAAAATGGAAAGTGCAAAGGTAAGGAGGAATTTTGCTAGCTCTAGCTTTTACATATGAGCAAAACACCCCAAAGAATTCTTTTTTCTTCATCCTTCCAAGGACATCATTAAGAATTTCACATTGTCACTTCTCCCAGCAAAATGACACACTTATGAGTAAAAGCTATTTTTAAAAGACAATGCATATAAAGAGCAGTCAGGGTTTTCTGGAACGCAAGTGTATATGCCTACCAGTAAGTTCTTTGCTGGGATTTTACGTGAATTAAAGCAATGTCCAATTGGTCCATGGTGCTTAAAAGCATAGTAATTCCTCCCCTATTGTCACACTCTGAAACTTGACAATATTTGAGTAGTCTTGGTTCATGGGCTTGGAAAAATCCCTGTTATACCACCCACTGCTGCTCCAGCATGGGTGATTGGCTTCCTTACTGTACTAGCAGAACAGTGGGGAAATGAAGATGAGGGATTGTTTTCTGCCTTTTCTTTCTTTCACCAAACTTCAAAACATTTTCGTTTGCCGAAATACAGATGAGGCGTAGTGGTTTTTTTTAAAGTTACTGTTTTCATTTTTACTTCCTCAGCAAGCTCAACAGTCAGTGCAACAGCAGGAGGCAAAAATGAAAGGAGCAGTCAGAGATAGATTGTGGTAGGGTTTCTTATTGGGGCTGACAGAAGCTCAGATGAAAGCGAAACAGTTGGCACCTGACCTTGAACAGAAGATGAATAAAGAGAAAGGGTTTCTGGTGTCAAAAATAAACATACCTGATCTCAGACAAGCATGTATGACGGTTGCACAGATGATAAGTTCTGTGTGGCTATTTACATGGTGCTTAGCAGATTCAATGTTGGCAAACTGATGTTGGAAGGTGTTTCTGCTGGGCAGAAACTTCTCACGAAGCTTCACCCTTTAGCCACCTAAGAAAGAGCAGTGCAGCTGTAATACAGTTTCTGACACAGTAGTGTTGGACTTCTTTTGTCTGTAGCCTGATTTTCAGATATCTGTGACAGCTCTCAGAAACACTGTCTAAACTGTTGCTATTTTTAGCCTTTTTTAATGAGAAAGACAAAAATGGCTCAGACTAGGGCTTTCTCCTGTCCCTTTGGCAGCATTCCAGCTGTTCTGGCAGCTGAGCTATTAAGTTAACTAGCTAGCTAGAGTCTCCTTTTGCTAATTTTGTTCTCTACTATTGCTAGCTTACAGAAAGGGAAAAAGAAGTGTATGCAGGCTGTGACTCACGTTAGTCCTCCTCTTTGTTAAAAAAATACCCTTCAGTGTGTTATGACCTTCCTGCACAAGCTTTAAAACTAGTCCTCCGTGTTCTGTTCAAGAGAGAACCCTCTGCTTCATTCTGTTCTTCACAGTCTATTTGCTCTTTTGCTTTTTAACCTTTCTCATTGTAGGGAAGTGTGGATGACCATTGTCTGTATATAATAGAACATGTTCAATATCCGGCTTTGGGAAGGGACTGCATGTGAGAGAACGGTGCATTGCTTTGGGTTTTGTGCTGACAACAGTAGGGTACAAAATCAAGGGGGTTAATTTGGTTTTCTCTGCAATGCAGATGGTTTGCTGAACCAATTAACAGACAAAAAAATGGAATCAGAATGAATTATGATGAAGATGATAAAATCAATCATTTGCTATGTGAATATAGTAGCAAAGTTTCTTGGTCAGCAAGACTGTTTTGTGTTCAATGCAATGGACTAGAGAAGGATCAGGGCTACAAGAATAGCCATTGACTTTGCAAGGTTTGTTGGCTCAAATGAGCATCTGGCTTTGTGCAAGTAGCAGCTCCATCTTAAATCATGACACCCTTAATGATCATGAGACAGAGAAAGGAGAATCCCCTTTATTGTGTCTGACGTTAATGAAGATGTGGGAGGCAAATGTTATAATTGTTTTGTTCATTCATGTTGAATTATATCTCAGCAAGATAGCCCAGGGTAAAACCAAACAGAAAGTAGGAAAAATATGGTTCTGCATGCTACTCTGGTTTAAGCCAATATTTTTATATGGGGGGATGTGTTTAACCTAAAAAAATTACTCAGTAATAATAACGATAACAGTAAGTTAAGGTTTTGAACTCTACAGCTGCAGAAATAGTATCAGTGAAGTTGATGAGGCTGGGCAAAGTACAGCAAATTGGGATTAGTTTCCTATAAAATTAATTGTAACAGTAATTATTCAGATCTGAAATAGATGACTGATACGAGTACATGTTTTAGGGAACAACATGTGGATTGAGCCAACAATAGCTACTAAGAATTTTTTTTTTTTTCGTAAATCATTAGATTTTAAACTTACATCATCTGTGCAACATTCCTTAAAAATGTCTTATTTTGTACTCTGTATGTGGTACCTTAAATACTAATTATATGCGTTTTCCCTAGTATCACTTCAACCCTTCCCAGTCAGTCCTTGTCATAGAAGGAGATGACATTGAGAATATAAATCAAGCTCTCCGAAAGGTCTCATACATCAACTCTAGACAGTTTCCTACTGCAGGCGTACGACGTCTCAAACTCTCATCTAAAGTCCAGTAAGTTATACTTCAGCTGACCTGATTAGATTATGACTATTTTTAATGAATTGCTTTTTTTCTTTGGACATGTAAAAAGAAGAATTTTGGCTAAATTACATCACTAAATCATACTTTTATGTTATTGCGCATAAAGGATGAATTTAATTTACTTTTATGCTCATTTTCGTTGGGGTTTTCTTTTGACATTGTCCTTTTTAGAAACTTTTCTTGTTAATGTAATTTACTTGCATTCTGTTTATAGTTTGGAGCATACATTGCATTCTTATTTTACTGTTCATTTTAAAAAGTTATCGTTTCTTCTGAGCTAGCTAGAGCCATAACTTTTTAAAGCAGACCTATATTACATCTGAAAGACGACATATCTGCAAGAACAGTATTTGTAGCTATGCTTGAAATAGTCTTTGTCTGTATCCTTATATGGCTGTCATCACTGAAGTACTGGTGTCGGGTGTTAAACAGAAATCTGTCCTTCCATTTTCATGCAACGATAGTGACAGAACCTGCACAATAATGTTTACAGTTCTACATAATCAAAGAGCCATCTGCCACTCCTGAGCTCCCCTGGGGTATGTCTCTGTTACAGCAAGTTGTACAGTGCAGTGAAAGCAGATCTTTAGAGTGAAAATAAACATCAGTTCTACGAACTCTCATCTACTGCGCGTTCAGTTCTTACTAAGTACGAGGTTTAGTTAGTGCTGTGGGCTGACCACACTAAGTGTTTGGAGGGCATCTTCTGATGCAGTTTCACTGGAAGCAGTCCAGTTTGCACAGTCCAAGGCTGGCCCAAGCCTTGTGCCAAGATCAAGTAAGGTAGGCTTTGTCAGAAGATTCACTTCCAAAGCATAGTGCTGATTCAGATGAAAATGCTAATATAGGCCCCTTTTGTCCCTGGTAAATACTGGGGGGTGCCAGGATGAGTTCATGATGGGTCCAATTTAAATGGATAATAAGGTCCTTTTATTCACACATGTCAATATAACCATATTATATTCATTAGATATCACTTTGAGAATTTAATGTTAGGTTTACTAAAGTTAGTTGTTATCATCTAATTAACTTTAATTTTTTTTAACCATTCACTACTTTGTTATATGTCAGTTACACATCAAAATATTATTCTCATAGTGACCTTAATAAAGACTGAGCTTGTCATGAATGTGTTCGCTAAGCTGTCCCTACATAATTTCAATAGTTGTGAATGTGGGAGGGGATGAGAGGAACAGAGCTGTTACTGTCACTGCTGGCCTATGCGCATGGTGGTACAGATGCATGTCCTTATGTGTGGCAGTGTCAAAGTATGGAATAGACTGATCTGAGACAATATGAAAGGATGAGAGCCATCAGGTGGGTTTTGGGCAGTGCAAGTGCCACACACCTCTGATGCGCAATGTGTTACATGCAGTTAATGAATAATATATTTTTCAGATGTTTTGGTGAAGATGTCTGCATTAGTATCCCAGATATAGATGCGTATGTAATGGTGTTTCAGGCCAATGAGCCCAAGATTACAATAAGTGGGATGGACCACTTTGCTAGACCAGCTGCACAATTTGAAAGTGAGAGAGGTGTTATTTTGTTACCTGACATCAGGATTGTCAGCACAGTCACTAAAATGGAGCATCCAGTGGACTTAAAAGAACGTGACAGAGGTTTGTGGATTTCTTTTAAATATTATTACTTACTCTGTAACACGACCCCTCACATTTTTTTAAAGGATAGTGCAAACAAGTAACACAAAGGAAGTCACTTCACCCAGATTAATTTAGGCAATGTTAGGCATACACTGAACACATTCAATTAAACACATTGAAAAATGTGTTAAATAGTGATAGATCAGTATGTGCTTCAAAAAAACCAGCTTTTCCATTTAGTGTCTTGCCTACTTCAGAATAATTCCTTTCCACTCTTCTTTACATATGCTATTGAATAACATATTTTAATTAGAATTTCTCTATTTGTAACAGAATTTTGTTAATTGTGCTGATAAAGTGGAAAGCAGTAATTGACTAATAGTTGGAGTTCTAGTCTATTCTTATGTTTCCAGCTCTGCTACTGACTTGTGGGTGATACTTGAGAAAGTAATCTCGTGCCTCAGTTTCCCACCTATATAATGTAAATATAATAATTTGCAAAGATTTTTTTTCAATGATGACAGTTTATTCTAATGCTGAGCAATGTGTGTATTATTATTCGACACTAGGTGAATATTCGAAAATATAAATACGGTTTAAAGTAATTGTCTGTAAAGTAATCTTCCTTATGGATGTTTGTGTGCAAGGTAAATGAAAAGCCTAGTAATCTGAGGAATCATTCTAAACAATATTTGTTGGACTAGAATAAGCAGCAACTAGATGTACATCTCTTGAAAAGATAAAATTGCAAACTGCAAGTGTAGGGGTATGGATTCCCTGAAGCCATGCTCTGTAATAATGCTGCTCATCACTTGCCTGAAAACTGCATCTGTCCTCTGAAGGCTGGAAAGTGTATCATATCATAATATCAACTGCATACAATTACAGTATGTAAAGAAAAGAATTCTTGCATAGAAAAGAGTGATCATTATCCATCACCTAAGACACAATGCATGTGTGACGCTCCATGTCCCTAAACATTATAAAATCTTCAAAACTGTTCAGTGAATTAGAAACTACTGCCCTCCAGTTTAGTTCATAAATTTCATCTATCCCAATTTTCCCAATACAATTATTGACATAATTACTGTTGTAGCACCTTGTAACCTAAAAAGCCTGAGTCTCACCTTGAAAAGGAACATAGCAGCATTTCTTAAACTACTATTTAATTCCTTGGAAGTCAAGCACCTCCTACTGTGTCATCTCTTCTTTATTTCCACTTAGAGTGGTTAAAATGGATAGATAATAATTGGCTTTGGGAATAATTGTGTTTTGCAAAAGATTATTGAATCCTAAGTCTCAATTCCTGCATTATAAGCTTGACTCATTATTTCTTTCAGCCCAGATATTATCTGACAAAGGCAGAGACAGCCATAAATCTTGACCTATCGCTACCTATAGCTATTTTTCCACTTACTGGGAATTTACATAACCTGATCATCATGACTGTAGCAGAGATGCACATGGCAAGGCTGAGAAGGCTGATTTAATCACCGTGTATTCCCCAGTCACAGGACCAGTAAGGTCTGTTTCTCATCAAAAGCAGATCAGGCAGTTGCCACAGGCAGCTTATGGCCTTATTTACCTGCAGAGGGCCCCCGGAATGCCAATATGTTGCTGCTTGTCCTGCCTCAGTAGAGAAATCAATGGGATGCCGCCAATAGCCAAAATTGCTGCCCCTACCTCTCCTGTTTGCCCACTGACAGACAGAGCAGCACAGCTGACCAGTTCAGGCTTTTCCCTCACTCTGCAGCCCAGCTCTTGCCTGTCTCTCATAGCTTCCCATGAAATAGTCCAACGCATCAGCCTTAGCAATATTCAGATTTGCATGTCCTGCAAATTTGAGTTGGGTCTGCATTTCTGGATAAGTTAGTTAGAGCTGTACCTAGAGTTCAGATACACAAATTCACTATACCAGGAGTTGGGAATCTACGGCATAAGACTTTTCTGTCTGTGCCTTCCTTCCCCATACACCCTCTAAAATGAAATTTGCAAAATGGGCACTAAGTTCCAAGATTGCAGTCTCTGTGTCTGTGGTCCCCTCAGGGAGCTGGTTAAGCAGTCTTGCCAGACACGCTGTGCTAAGTTGACCAGAGAATTTAAATATTAAATCGATATGCTACTCTCTTTTCCAGCAACAGAGTATTTTTTTTCTAATCGTACGTACTGAAGGATAGTCAGTTTACAACTCAATTTCTCCAAGTCACACAACAGAGGATCTTGCCATTTATGATAATATTGTGTTCTTGGATACATGGCCATGGTCTTTGTAATGCAAAGTCTTTATGAGCCATAGAGTGACTGAGAGAATCACCCAGGCATAGATATATTTGACATGTATTTTTCCAGTTTGGTTTTCCTTAAGAAAAGAATGAATGTGTGATACCAACCTGGTATCGATACAGTATGGAAAACCAGAATTGTTTATATGAATTTATTTCCAGGATCAAATTTCAGTTTTCTACTTCCAGTACTCTTCTTGAATGCCTTTTATTACAGAGCAATATATTTTCTATCTGTCTCACTAGGTATTTGTAGGCCTTCATCGTCTTAGCACCTGAACAGGCAAGACACTTCTCTTTTGATTTGCTTCAAGTATGCTGTATGTAATATCAGCAAAAACAATTCAGCATCTTTGCAAAAATTGAAAGCCCTGATGCAAAGCACATAAAATGACTGAGCTGTTCCGTGATGATTTATCTTAGTTTCTTCCTTCCTTTTTTTATATGCCATGTGTTCACAGCCAATAAGCCAGTGGTATTAGAGGAAATGCTCCACAACTTGGATTTCTGTGATATTTTGGTCATTGGCGCAGAACTAGATCCTGAACAAGAGTGTTTAGAACTAGATCATGTGGAGCTTCAAGGAAAACATCTAGATGCCACAAATTCCACAGCAGGATATTCAATCTATGGTACGTTCATGGACTTTGCTTTCCCTTATTTCTTCCCACCAACAATTACATTATTGGAATGAAAGGACTAATTTGAAAGAAATTAGACAGAAATCTGTGATGTACTAGCCGTAAAATATTCCAGGGAAGAGTGTGTCTCAAAAAGCATGGTCACTTCTTGATCTCTGGGTGCGCTATGTTTATCCTTTGGAATACAGCACAGCTTTGTCTTGATCTCAGCATACCTCCTGCTACTCCCCAAATACGGAAAATAACAACACTGCTTTCTTTAAATGTGGGGGGGGGTTGTGGAACATGGGAATGACGGAATTTCTCAGTGCTCCTGCACAGTGCTGGTAACTCATTGGCCATTTTTTCCAAAAACTAAATAGTTTATTCTAAATCTGTGCTGTTGTATTTGTTCCTCTCTGTTATGGACCTACATTCATTTCCAAAAACTATTCTCACGTGATTTAGTATCAGCCAGAGTCTCTATCAGGGAATATCTGATGTGCTGCCATTTTCAGATCATTCTGCCGAATTTTGTATGTTCTGTGAACATTTGATTTCTCCTGTACTGCACAGAGCATTTGTTACATGGCATCTCCTTGAGATTATTACTGCTCTACCACCATTTCAGGTGTGGACAGCATGCACAACTATGAACAGGTTCTTCGGCAGATTCGATATCGTAACTGGTACACTTCTGCCACCTTTGACAGAAAGTTCAGAGTCAAGTGCTCCGAGCTAAATGGACATTACACTAGCAATGAATTTAACTTGGAGGTAAGCAATCATTTAGTCAAGTTTTCTTTTCCAGCGCTGAGGCTGAGCACTAGCCTTATCTTCAGCAACATTGAGTTTTCTTTAAAATGTGTAAAATGATTGACACGTTCTCATGACTATATTCAAATAGAGGAAAAATTCTAAGTTCCATTCAAATAGGAAGTTGAGGTCTCCTATGGGCATTCCTCAGTGTGGGTCTCTCTATTCTCCACTAACACACATAATTACTCCTGTTCAAACAGAATGGAGGCTAAGGTCATCATCATAGTTTTTCCATGATGTAAAATCTCCTATAGGTCTTTTTGAAGATTTATACACCTGCTCGAAAGTAAATCATTGCAGCATCATTATTTTCCCTAGATTAGTTATTTTTTAACTTAACCTGACATACTTTTCTTTCCTGCAGCATTCACCTTTTCAGTTTTTCCAAGTACTACCTCCTTACAATACATTTTATAATTTGTTCTTCTTGAGATGGAGATCATTCCTGGTAATTTACATGATTTCATATTTCTTTGAGGAGGAAAGTCAGTATACAGGTAACAAACGCATAGGATGGACTTCATCTGTCATATTCTCTTGGATCCACTACCCAGACATGGTCAGTTACCACAGGAATATTTAGATATCTCTCTTGAGCTTAGATGTGCTGGTACTGAGTCCAGTGCAGCACAGTGGCTCAGGGACTGAGAATTACTGCTGATGCACCTCATTCTCAAGAACCAACTCATCCAGCCTAGAAACCCAGGTACCAAGTAACTACAGGAAAGGACAGGACCTTCTTAGCAATAGGCTCAAAACTTAATAATTGGTCCTGAAAGTTTTCACATGTTTACGTTGTATTGAAAATTCTTTTCACCTTAGCATTCTGCAGCCCTTACGATGTCTTCAGGATTTTTGCTTGTAACATAACTATCAGTAGGACAGAGAACTGATATGGTATCTTCAAAGAAAGTCACTCTGAAAGTAGACATGCAGGAAAAACTGAAACCTCTTTTAATTCCCTCTTACTGTTTCGGTTTTAAACTCAACGAGTTTGATGCATTCTCTGTCAGTGTTCAGAGTGACAAATCTCCCACTAACTTTCAGGGAACACCTAAAAGCTGATTAGTATAGAGGGAAAAAAAGTCACTACTTACCCAGACAGGTAAATCAAAAAAATCCTTTTCTGTGCCACTTCATAGTCTACAGCTAGAAATGTTAGAATGCATTTTTATTGCTAGAAATGAGAAATATATTAACCTGTGTACTTTTCACTGGCATAAAAAAAATGATCGTGGCCTTTAAGATCTATATAATAATGTTCCTATCTGCTGATGAACTTCATAGTTCAATGTAATGTATGGAGCCAGCAGGCTTGGAATATAGAGCACTTTTTAGTATCTGATCTCTTATTTTTCCCTTGTGCCAGGTTAATATTCTGCACAGCTCCAACTCCAACTTCATGGACCATGTAAATCATATGATAGTACAACCACAATTTCTCCAATCTGTCCACCACCCAGAGGGAAGCATAAGTGCTGTTCACAATTCAGGTATGTGACGACTTTACAGAGACTGCCCATAACGATTCTGGTATGTTGGTATTTCCCTTGTGATTCAGCCTGGCCAGCAAATAAAGCCCTGAAGTCCATAGTTACAGCTTGTGAAACCTCACAGAGATCATTGCACAGGTATGAATGAAGGTAACATTGAATTCTCTTCTTTCTTTCCGAGGAGGTACTTTGTAATTAAAAACTGGCATCCTTTTTTAAAGTTTTCATTAAAGATTATGTACTCTGACTCATATAGTTAAGAAAATGTCTTGTTTCTAGTATTGAATGGTATGAAGGATAATATTTATGCTCATATTGTCTTTGTACATCTGTATTTCTTATGGCATATTAGTTTCTGCCCACCCCTTTCTAAGCAAAAGGAAGAAATGTTTGTATTATTTTTTAAATATATAATTGCTGCAGTGCTTCTATTAGCTGCTGTCCAAGCCTCAGTCTGGAGCTCTCTGAAGAGAAGACAGGTCCACCTAGCCATGTGCAGGGGGCATTAGTATATATTAAATACAGAATTTAAATTGAAATTGCTGCTGTGCTTCTATTAATTAGCTGCTGTCCAAGCCTCAGTCTGGAGCTCTCTGAAGAGAAGACAGGTCCACCTAGCCATGTGCAGGGGGCATTAGTATATATTAAATACAGAATTTAAATTGAATTTTTAGACTATATGAGTTAAAATATATACCCAACTCTGAAGTCTTTTCAATGAAGTTAAACTCAGGGCAAAGATATCTGTTGAAATGCTGAATTCTGAAATCCTTTTAGCTGAATGATACATATGTAAAGAAGTAAAGCTGATGTGAAGCGTAGGTAATTATAAGTAGTTATATACAGTTATGCTTAGAAAATTACTGTGTTTTTCTGTACACTTGTACAGACATTTTACTAAAACGAAACTGAATTTTTACAAAATGAACTATTGCAAGCTAGTTCTTTCTTCTTTGCTTTAATATTGTTCTGATTTCAGTGTTCCATTCTTACAGGCAGGGCAAGGCGATAAAATGGGGTACAGAACTACAATAGCTCCTGGAACTTGCAGTACCTAGGTAGCACTTCTCCACTAACCTAATTAGGGAGCTGATAATATAAGAGCAGTTCAGAGACATTTCTTCCTGTGACTAGGTGGAGACAGAGGCTTCTCAGAGTGCAACAGAACAGTGAGGAAAAATGTCTTGAATCCTCAAGAGTCTTCCAGGAAGGTTGTAACAGGCAAATAGAATGGCAATGTGTTATTTTGTTTCTTGGAGATTGAGATTTAAATCACAGTACAAGTGTTTGAAACCTTTGAAAATATAAGCTTTGAGATATACTTTTTCTCACAAGTGAGGTTAATGCCTCCGCTGTAATCAGAAAGGGGATAGATAACATGCAGGTAAGATAACTGAACCATATTGCAAAAAAACTTGTTCTGAAACTAATTGATTCTGCACTGATTGACTACTTGTCTTCTGTAATAAAGTGGCTTAAAGAACAAATGGTAGGCATACTCACTTTTTAGTTATGATTTATAATACTCATGATAAGATATCTGTAAACAGCATTCGTGTATGCTCTGCCTTAGTAGGTGGGCACTTGTCAACACTTTCTGTAGTCCCAGGCACATGGCAGATGGCTGTGCTGAGTCTCAATGCAAAGGAAGAGGTGCTGAGGGGAAAAAATAGACAATGTATTTAGTGTTTTGTAGGCAATTTGTTCCACAAATATGAGCCCATGCCCTTTTCCACCTTTTGTTCCAGTTGTTCCAAGTGTGGCTACTATCGTTATCATAATCTGTGTGAGCGTACTCATTTTCATCATAACCTTGGGGGTCTATCGAATTCGGACAGCTCATCAGCACAGCTCTGCAGACAATGAAGGAAGTAAAGAGAATGAAATGGATTGGGATGATTCTGCTCTGACTATTACCGTCAACCCCATGGAGGTACATAACTGAGGCATAGTATTATATCGTGATACTACCAGGAATTACTGTCTGGGCTGGCAGCTTACCTAGCAGTGAGTTTTAAGGCTCTTTCAGCATACACTTGTTTAAGCTTGACAGAACAGTTGTATGTACGTACACTCAGGACCCCATGTCAGTTTTCAGCTCCAACATCATGATAATATGTAACTGAGCACTTAATATTTGTTGTCATATATAATTACTAAATAGGATGGTGAAGAATTCCTGGGTACAACACCACTTCCTCTCCATCCATATTTGCACCCTAGGTACGCAAGGTGATATAGTTACTTTGTTTTTAACTTCTTAGCGTAAGCACTAATACACTAAAAGGAGGGGAAATGATCGGCAGTTTAAAGAAACTGACATTGAAGGGTTAAATTCTGGCAGCTTGACTAACAAAGATATTGCTTATTGACATTCCATTCTTGTAACAGTAGTTTTGAATATTTGCTACTGAATTGTATCATATTTGATGCCTAATAGTCACATAATGATGGAAAGCAGATTTTCCCAGCATGTTAGCATTTCTAAATGTGGAGTAAATGCTCACGTTCTCACTGGCTACCAAGAAGGCACTTTTCTTCTACTGTCTCTCTTTCATTTCTTTAAATGTACTGTAGAAATATGAAAAGCCTCACCAGACAGAAGAGGGGAGTGAGGAAGAAGACATAGAAGATGAAGAGGAAGACACAACCAGCGCTGAATCAGATGAAAGTGAAGAGGAGGAGGAGGAAGAGGAAGAGGAGGAAGTGATTGTCCAAAAGGGAGACAAACAGAATGCAACCAGGCAAGAGCAGTTGGAGTGGGATGATTCAGCACTCCCGTACTAACAGCCCTGCAGCCCCATTGCTCTTTTGTAACAACCAATACAATGTTTTTTTTCAGAGTCTATGAATTCATTGACAGGATTTGAACTTCTGCTTGCTTTTAACTGTTTTGCCTAAAATTATCTTGTTTTAGTAATTGATAATGATAGAACTGACTCTTTTCTTACAAAGCCCGGAGAAAACATGGTACAAACATACTGGCATCACCAGTAATAAAGTAATCCAGAACTTGATCTGTTAGCAAGCATAGTTCTCAATTTCCTATTTCTACTGCAGATATGTGACAAAAGTCCTGTCTCTCAATCCATAGAGGTTTTTGCCTTTGCTATTTTTTTCATACAGGAGAGATTTCAGCTTGATATGAAGAATTACTTGTGTGGGTCCAAATAACAGTTGCCATCTGACTTCACACTCTTACAGGTGTAAAATATAATCCACCTTCAAATTGGCACAGAGTTTTAGTGCTACAGGTGACAGAGACTGAATTCCATTTGTCGTCTCATCCTGCCTTCTTGGATGTTAACTGTCTTCTACAAGGGAATATCTAGGACTTGACAGGGGATGCATGTGTGCCTGTGTAGAATTGGACAGTGTATTTTTCAGGGGTGCTGTCAGAACCCTCGAGACAGGGATTTTATCCAACCTAAACTTAAGCGCATTTAAAAAACCAGCAACAATGAGGGGCTGCTGAAGGTTACAAAAAACAAAATCGTTCTGTGTCCACAGATTGAGTAATATGATCTTATGCAAACTGTAAATTCTAATAGGATTGATTTACTGAAAACCTGTAGAGATGCTCATTAGTTATGGATTGAGCAATTTGCAGCAAATCGATGCTTTAAACCGTCTGTCTTGTAAAATCATTAGCTTGCTGCAGTATCTTACTGAAGTAGTGGAAAATAAGTGATCCCATTATTCCATAGCTATGTATGGTTGGGATTTAAACAATGATTTTACATGAGGAAAATGTTCCCGTTTGCTTTAGTGAATGCCGACTGGAATTCCTGTCTTGACTGTATTCTCTAGAACATTATGCCCTATTTCCTCTGTACCCTTACCCACCTATGAGTGGTACAAGAGAAAGTGACAACATACACAACTGTCAGCTCTCTTTTGTATTCGTAATTCTCCCTTATTTCTTCTTCCTGAAGCCATTAATGTTGAGAAAAGGTTCTATAAAGTAGAACAAGAACAAATAAAACCTACCTGGAACCAAAAGTAGTGAAAACAAAAACTAAACTCTTAAGAGGTTGAAAGAGTATTTTAGTTTGTTATGGTAACACAGCATATTTTTCTTAAACACTGTTTAAAAAGGAAAAAAAAAAAAAAAAAAAGCAAAGCTACATACAATGTGTTGGTAAGTCTGTGTGGTGTGTTTTTTTGTCCCCTTTCCTTAATTATCTTTGCATCTTTAAATGCTCTGCATATCAAATGATGCAGCACCTGCTAGGATAACTGCTCTAATGCATAAAACCAAAATGGCATGGAAATGAATGCTGCCTAGTGGGTTTTTTTTTTTTTTTTTTTTTTTTTTTCCCTAAGTACTGCCTTTTCTTTACAATTTCATCACTGACTTTTGCTTTTGTAATTTGCTGTTTAAAATGAGCTGCTTCCTCTTCTCCTCTCTTCCAGAGAAACAAGCAGTCAGTCTTGCCACAACAGGACCTTCCTGAGCACCTAGGAATCGTAGTTGATATTGCAAAGAGTAACTTGAACAATCTTGAGGGTCTCCACTTCCCTCAATACTAAATTATTAGCAGCTCCTGAACTTCTTGGAATATAGAGAATATATTGTGAGTTTGGGGGTTCTTTTAATTCCAGTTTCTGCATCTGATAGTTGCAGGGAAAGATTTACAGCGACCAGACCTTATGGTTTACTGACTAGAAAGTAAATGAAAAGAACTCTAAATTAATTTTTAAATTAGAGATCTTCATGCTCTTTTTTGCTGTGCCAACGATCATGTTGGCACGATTGTTAAGACTGGCAATATAGGAGTTTTCCTATGTGAGCAGTCCTGTTTTATTCTGGTCTCTCACATGTATTAAACTTTCAAGAATATTTGCAGAATCAAGCCCACATAAATACAATTTATCCATAGGAATAAAGATTGTAAAATTGGCCAAAATTTCTGTTTAATAAAAAATTAATTTTAAAATTTCTGAATATCTTGAACAGAAGTTTTATGTTAGATTATTTCCTGGCATCCTAGTATCCTAAATCATTTTCTAGTGTTAATTTTTTTGTTAGTGACATGAAGCAGGCTCTTCATGATGCTTGTTATCAGAACATATCAGCAAAGCTTTCTGCTCAGAAAAAAAAAATTTAAAATTAAAAGTTGATATTTAAAATTCAATTTCAGATTTAAAACTGGACTTAAATTATTTTTCAAGTTTATGATATTCCTGATTATTATTATTGTTGTCATCACAGCAAATGTTAGGGCAACTTAAAAACAGCAATTTACAACCTTATTGACAGCCTTTAATTCTTTTATATGTTCATGTCTTCATCAGTGTGTTTCTCCATCTAATAGATTTTTATCTTTTTGTTACTGGAAGCAAATCTTTTCAGGTCATGCTGGTACATTACACAAGAAGGAAACAAAGTATTTTATCTACTGTAAATAAACCTACATTTTTAAACCTAAGCAAGGTAATACAGGCATGTGTGTGTTATCACTAAAATTTGGTTTGCAACAAGATATTCAGTAAACTAAAATGTATCACTGTACTTATTTTAGATTACTCATTGGAGTGCGTTATGCAGCATTTTTCATTCAAATAAACAGAAAAACCTTTTCACAAAATGTTAGTGAGAATGAGATACTTCACAAAATTAACCTTAGAGTTAGAATATTTGTACAGAAGTTGACAGCAATGGCTTCATGAGCAAAAGCCTACTAGTAGAATAACATAGAAATAGCACTTTTTCTGAAATAATTTAAAAAATATTTCCTCTCTTCCATGATTTTTTTTTTATGTAAACTACTTGCTTAAAACAAAAACCAGAACATATGCATATATATATATATATATGTGCATACATATAGACACTCTCTCTCTCTCTCTTCCCTCCCTCTGTTTATCCTGCAAACTCTGAAATGGCAACTGCAGTGTCTGGCTCTTTAAGATGTAATGTTTATCCTTAGTCCAGTTGCAAGGTTGAGCTATGAAGACACACTAATAAAGGTGGCTTTTTTTACAGTAGCAATAAAGAAGTGCATCAAAAAAAAAAAAAAAATCTCTGAAGAGGTACCCGTAATACATGACATCAGGAATCTGTGACACTTGAGGTCTAAAATGACATCATGTCAATGAAAGCCTTTAAATTTTTGAAATTCTAATCTAAGGCTGGGAAAAGCTGCAAAAACCTACAAATGCAAAGTCAAGATGGTGATACACTGTGTTAGCTGAATTAAATAACTGCCTAAGCTGCTTTTTGTGATCAATAGCTCACATTTCTTTTTCACTTCTACCCTCTCCACGGGTCTTTTATCTTTGCACATAAACCTTAAAATGCACAGTTGAGCTTAATCTCGGTATTTACTGCATTGGCTGACACCAGTTCAAATTAGAAATAGACGTGTAGGGTTCATGTCATCTTTAATACTAATTAAAATGAAACGTCATTATTTGTTCATTCAAATAGGCAATAGTAGCCTGCAGTAATGACTTGACTGCTTTTTAACTGGTATTGGTCTTCCCTGCCAAGGGCTAACGGGAAGTTAGTGCGGTTTATTTCCCTTTCTGGTGTGTTGCGGTGCTGGGCTTGCCATGAGCACGTGCACCATCCTTCATTCAGGAAGAAAAATAAGACTCAGAAAGGGTCAGAGGGTTATAAAGTTCCTTTAGTGGGGATGAAACCCACTGTCTCCATTGCAGGAGCTGTCCCTGCCTGACCCTAAGCTGAAAATAATGCCATGGGACATTAGTAGCCCCAGGTCAAGGACTGGTCAGAGGGCAATTCAGTAGCAGCCCTTACTTTACCTTGGCAACCCCTTTTGAGCCCTGCACCTAATTTGTGTCTCAGCTGTCTCTTCCCCTGAGCTGTAACCTGAGAGGCAGCTCTAATGCTTTTACCTGGTGGGGATCCCAGCAGGCTGGGACATGACACTTCCTCTTCTGGAAGTTTTGGTGCCAGCACATGCAGCACCCCATTCATCTCCACCACCATCCATGCTTAGCAGAAGAGGAGAATGAAGGACTTTACTGAGGTGACAGCAGGTAAAGGTCTGGTGAGATGGCCTCATAGAGCTGCTCCTGATATTCTGGAATATACATCATAATACCAAAATTAAGGATGTTTGCAAAAGCATGTGGATACTTAGAGAGGGAGAGGAAATGAAACTGTGACACCTTCAATAAAAGTCTCCTCTTCCCTCAATTCACACATGCTGACTAGATTAAATATCTCCATACCAGTATATCCCCAGCAGTTTTTGTATGCTTATTTTAAAGGACAATAAAACCTCATAGCAAAATACAATTTCCAGGAATCTAGCAGTAGGCAAAGAAGCAAAGTGCTAAAAGTCTTCACATTTGACATCATGACTATCATCCTAATTTTTTTTTTGCAAATTTGCTTCACCTCTGTGGAGCGTAGCTGTTTCCTGGCTGTATACTATTTCTGCACTACTCTTAAAAAAAAAGCACCACTAGGTTAACGGCAAGAGAACTGCTCATTTGGCAGAAAAATAAAGGTATCATAGCTTGTAAAAAGGTGTTTGTTTCTTGAGGAAATCCTGGTGTTGGAAAAAAAAAAAAAACCAAAACCAATTTCATGTAATAAAATTTTGGACAAATATTGACAGTTGCCAGCCTGAGAAATAACGATGATATAAGCAGAATTTTGAAAAAAAAACACACATACGCAAACTGATACATTATATTGCATATATATATATAAAAAAATAGTTTGTATACATACAAATTTTAAGTAATACTTTATGTATGTGTGTACATATAAAAAAAAAATATATTATCTAGATTGGAAACACACCTCT